GCAACTCCCTCTTATGCTCAACATAATCCGATTAGCAAGGGTTGACCAGTGGGCACTAGTTTCAATTAGTGATGCAACGCATCTGAGTTTCTCCCCTGCCCTGAAGCCCAAATGGTTGGCTTGCTGTGTTTTGCATGGCATGTAATCATAATCGTTCTAATCAAACAGGCAACCTTTGTCTTAATTCATAAAATGAAAGAAATAGTTCGAAAGCAAAAGCTCTTGCATGATTAAAATAAACACAGCTTTCTTCCGTTTGTTATGAAAATCCAACTCCATTAAGACTAAGCAGGTATGCATTTCATTCTGAATTTCAATATTCCATTAAAATGAGAAAAAAATACCTTGCAGGAAATTTCGTTAGCGAAGTGACAAGCTAAAATATGTAGCGTTACATTGCAAAGCATACATTGCCTGTCATATCTGGCAAGGAGGTCTTGGCTTCCATTCTGTTTCTGCCTGTATTTCTCTTCCCATCCTCACTGAAGCTTATAACAGCCTCTGGAATCACAACAGAATACGGCTGCCTAGCAGCATTTGTAAATTTGTATTCATATGTAAAGTGCAATAGACGCTTTTATAAATTGAAAAAAAATTATGAGGGGTAATTTGTTGTCTAGGTGCTACTGTGATGGACATCACAGAAATGTATATGTGCTTCTGAAGTAATATGAAGGCTTGTTTATGTCAGTGCTTCATGAGAACAAAATATTGCATGTAACAATATTTGCATACAAGGGAAGATAACCTAGTCAAATATAATATATAGTAAATAAAATAATATTAATAAATGAGCCATAGCAAATACTGAAACCTATAACTCCAGGTTTGAAATTTTTAATCATACACTGGTTAAATTACAATATCTCCAAAGCACTATAATAATAACTAATAATACTTAATAGCTATCTATTACTTAGCATTTTTCATTAGTAGATCTCAAAGTGCTTCATAAAGAAGGTAAGCATCCTTATTTTCAATTTAGAGCTGGGAATAATACTATGTGTCTACCTGTTCATCCACCTATCTATCTCTTATTATCTCCAGTTGTAATCTGGGGATAGTGATGCTTGTCTCCTGGCAGTGGTGGACAATATGGCTGTGTCTACATTGGCACTCCTTTCCGGAAAAGGGATGCTAATGAGACACTTCGGGATTGCAAATCCGCAGGGGATTTAAGTATCCCCCGCGGCATTTGCATTTACATGGCTGCCGCTTTTTTCTGGCTCCGGGCTTTTGCCGGAGAAAAGCACCAGTCTAGATGCGATTTTCCGGAAAATAAACCCTTTTCCGGAAGATCCCTTATTCCTACTTTCAACTGGTGGTTGTCTAGTGTAGAACGTCATATGGAAGGTACACAGTGATTAGAAAAATGGCTCGGCAAAGGACATAAAAAGGAGCTGATTGTTAAATAAGAAGAATGGGTGGCGGGTGGTTCAGGGCTCCTATGACTGATACAGGAGGGTGTCAACCCTCCTTTTTATAATTCACTTTAACCCTTGTTTTGGGGTGAGAGTGGCAATGGTAAGGTCCTAGCAGTAGGTTCACTGAGGGACCTGAATGTAAAAAAGGAGGGTTGATATCACACGTGGATATCGAATGAATATGGAGTTTCGTGCTCTGTACTCCTCTATCTTCCAGGTAGTGCCAGACATCTAATAATAAAATTGCAGCCTGATTAAAGCCATAGCAAGTGTCTCCTGTGCTTTTTTTTGGTATAGCCAGGCAATGATACATTGCACCTTAAGTGGGAGGGGCCACTGTCTGACATTTTGGGGGAGTGGGAGAGAGGCTCAGAGGCTGTAGCAAAAGGGTCAGTGGGTCAGAGTGACAATACCAATTCACCCTCAGGTTCCTTTTTTCTGGACCTGTTGGGATTCAAGCTCTTTGAATCACATCATGGCAGGCTTAAGACCAGGTAATGGAAACAAAACAGGTGGCACATGATCTCTTCAGGACACTGGTACTGAGGATAGATGTGTTTGGTAATAAATATTGATGTTTCAATAGTGTTTCATTGCTGACAGAAATAGCAGTAGTGGACAGAAATACCCCACAGTGGTATCATTCATTCCTCTCAATGCAATCCTGAGGGATATTTTTAGTTGACTCTCTCTACTCCTGAGATAAGCTCATTTGTGAAGTCCCACATATCCTGTTCCAACATTTTTGTGTCAAGTGCTTAAGGGGAAGATCATAAGACAGCATGGGCTATAGTGTCATATTCAGCTCTTTGACTTTTTTATCTAACCCAGGGTATGTCTACACTACCCCGCTAGTTCGAACTAGCGGGGTAGTGTAGACATACCCCCAGACACTGCTGTGTGTCTTAAGAATCATTCAGAGCCTGGTGGAAAGTGAAACCTAGATGTAATCACATTGGCTGAAGCTCAGTACAGATAAGATGATCATGATGCTGATTGGCAAAAGGAAGCACTTTTTGTGTAGCTGGTAGAGTGCATCGCCACACAGATGAGAGTTTGTGCTTAGACAACGTCAAAGTAGTCTACATTGTCAAGGGCTTATTAGAATCACTATGCTTCCAGAGTCTCGGTGTGCATTGCCTTTATTCATCTATAAAAAGTCTGTCATTCATCTATAAAGAGGCAAACTTTGTGCTTGATTCCATAGATCAATTATACAGCAGTATGACTTTATTGACATCACTGGAGTTACACCCATTTTCAAAATAAATGTAACAGAGTGAAAAATGTATCCCATAGGAGCTTCTAGCCACTACTTCTTAAGGCTTGACCAAGCCAATCAGCTCTGCTTAGAACTAATTACCTGATCCATTTAATAGGAGTCTTTCAATTGACTTAGTGGGTGTTGGTTCATGCCCACATGGTGTAAGCTATCCAGGGAGCCTCTTGCTAAAGCAGAATAGCAGGTATCTTCCTGAATCAGGCTGTGTAGTGACAGCATCTGTGCTCTGTACTCTACATTGGGTGATAGAAGAGTTCTGTGTGACATTTTAAGTGCTAATTGATGTCCAAACCCTTGTGTTACCTCAAGGTCCACCATAAAACTCAAGATAACCATTCTATAGATGAAGCTTATATCAGGTCTAATCTTGTGGAATTGGCTTTAACCTGCTATAAATTACATGTAAGCTTGGCTGTGATTAGAAAGAGTTTCAAGGGACATCTCTTTGACTAGATTCCACACTATGAAGTTTAGGGCACTTAAACCACTATTCACTTATTTCAGTATTCTCTCTTGGTATGTCTACACCACAGCGTTATTTCAAAATATCTTATTTAAAAATAGTTAATTCAAAATAAGTTATTTTGAAATACCACGTCTATACACAAAATGCATTTCCAAATCGTGTTTTGATATTTTGAAATAGTGCGTCCACACTGAGTGGATGCTGAATCACCTTTAAGGCCGGCAGGAAAGAGGTCCGGGCATCAGGTCAGGCAGGGCATCAGGTCAGGAGATACTTTGTGTGGCTCCTGCCTGAGGCTATCTGAGGCCTGTGCTTAAAGGGCTCCCCCTCCCCTGGACAGCCGATTCTCAGGTGTCCCTGCTTGTTTGCCTGCCTCGATGAGGGACAGCAAAGCATTTTGTCTCTGTGTGCTCTGATTGCCCTCACTTGGGACATCACAGCACTCTGGAACATGGAGCCAGAGCTGCCCCTGGGCATTCTGGTGCTTCTTATGGATGCGTTGCTGCGAGCCTGGCTGCAGTTTCTGCAGGCTGCCACCTGGGAGGTCCATCGGGGGTCTGTCAGTATCCAGGAGGCCCTGCGGGAGAGATGCCACCCTGAGGAGCACTAAGAGCCTCCCTGGTCTGCCCCACTGGAGTCTTGTGCCTCATTACTTTCTCACATCCTTCCACTTACCCCTTCCTAGCCCACCTTCCTGATGTTAAATAAAATTCACATATTTTCATGAACACAAACTCTCTTTATTTAACAAAACTGGAGGGGGGGAATTAAACTCTGGTGAGACCTGGGAAAGGAGGTGGGAGAGAGGAGGGGGAAAAGTGGGAGGAGGGAACTGGAAGGGAGGAGCAAGGGGAAGAAGGAGGAGGGGAAGCTCAGGGCTCAGGGGTGGGGGTCTCACCGGACCAACTTGATTTTCATGCAAACCTGCTTCTGGGTTCACATGTGGCCTTTGGTGGCCAGGCTAGCAGGAAAGATGGATGTGTTCCTCCATCTAGTATGGAGATCATGGACGTTGGGGTCATCTCCCCCAAATCTGAATACAGTCCATGATCTCAACCCTGGACCAGGAAGGCGCCCACCTTCTCCAGGCCCTAGCAGGCTCCTGGGAGCTGGCAGACTGCTCCTGGGGAGAGGTAGAGGGCTGGCTGCCAGTGGCTTGCTGGCTCATGTTTTGGGGTTGGAGCAGTGACGGCTGACTCTGGGTTGGCAGGCATGGAGCTGGCACAGGCACTGTGGCCAGAGTCAACCCCTTTAAGGACTCTGGCCACAGGGAGAGGAGTGTTCTTGGTTGAGGCTAGAGTGGCCACCAGGGCACCTTGGAAAGCCTGGAGGCCCCCTATTTCGATATAAGTGTCTACACAGCACTTATTTTGAAATAGCTATTTCGAAGTTGGCGTTATTCCTTGTGGAATGAGGTTTACCAAATTTGAAATAAACACTCTGCTATTTTGAATTATTTTCGAAATAGTGGTTTGGCTATGTAGACACTAGTAAAGTTATTTCGAAAGAACGGCTGTTATTTCAAAATAACTTTGCTGTGTAGACATACCCTCTGGGTTTAAAGTTATGCATGAAAGAAGGTCATGGTGTCTTCCCATTTTATCTGAAAATGTTAATGATACAATTTAAGACACGTGAAAGTGCGTTCAACTGCCACATGTGCTAATAAAGAACAATGAAGTTTTCCTTAAGTATGTTATTTTTGGAAAGCAAATATTTTATGATAATCCTTCAAAGGTGAACTGTTATGGCATTAAACTAAATTCTGAAGTCTTTTCCAACCAGTTAGAATAAATCCCATGCTTTATATTTGTGTTTAATTCACTAGGCGTAATTCTCCATTGCCTTGAACCTCGTGAAGTCAGTGACACCAGAGCAAAGTGGGAAAATGCTACCATTATGTTCCAGCTGGTTGTTGTCCAAATCCAAGAATCATTCCAATGAAGAAAAGGTGCATAAGACTCACTTCACATGGGTGTGACTACACTATTAGTACCTGCTGGCAAATAGTATTTTTTTTCTTTTTTTCCATATATTTGATTCATGCATATATATTAACTATTCTTTAGAATCTTTATTTTCAAAAAAAGAGTATGTCTAAATTCTAAGGGCCAGACCACCAGTCTTTGACCAGTAAGCTGCCCTATTCAGGAATTTATTCATTATACTGTTTCTAATAGTAACTCTGGGATGCTTTTACATCCATAAAATTCCAGATATTCTTGGAAACCATCTCTGAGATAGATAGATAGATAGATAGATAGATAGATAGATAGATAGATAGATAGATAGATAGATAGATAGCAAAGAGTGGTAATGTATCAATTTTTTTATTTCTGTATTTTCTATTTCTGTAACCTGTGCTGTACTAATCTCTGATTAATACTCGTAGAATAAATAATTCCATCTGAGTGTGTTATTTTGACAATCTTGAGTCATTAACTCAACAAAACAAAGTACGAAACAGTGGAGAAGAAGGCCCATTAGATTTATGTGAGCATGACTACTTATGAGCTTGTTGTGTGGTCTGTGCAGGTCACAATAAAGAAATTTGACTTACAGTAGAAATACATAGGGAATGCTGTCATGTATTTGCATGCTACATCTAACTAAAAGAAAAGGGATTTTTATTTTTTAGATTTTATACTGTTTATTAATAAAGTTTAAGGGGAGAGTTAGGACACAAGTAGATTGTAGGTGCCCAATTCCCATTAATTTTCAACAGGATTTGAGTGCAAAGGGTGTGTCTCTACAGCACCCTAAACTAAAAATAAAATATATAAACTGAAATTTGGTGCATCTACACAGCAACAAATTTTGAAATAAGACACTATGTTGAGCCATCCCTCAACCCTCGTGCAATAAGGTTTACCGGGATGGCAAAATAGCATGCACGTTATTTTGAAAAATATTTCAAAATTCCGGACAGCTCGTGTAGACACCGTATCCCGAAATAGCTGTGCAGTGTAGACATACCCATAGTCCGCTTTGAGACTTTAAATATCTCCCATTTATTTTTTTTTAACTGATAATTATGCCTCAAAATGCTGAGTTTGGGCCATTTTTAATGGCACAATGTTTGCATTGGTTAGGATCAATTACTGAAGAACTGTCCAGTTTCTTCTTTGTCTAAAAGTACATGAGGCATCATTCTTGCAGGGTTAGATGCACTAAAATATCTTATGATCATAAAACAGAGAGAATGCCAATGAATAGTAGCATAATGGTTAAATATAGGAGAACCATAATTAGGTTTGTATAATATTTAATATAAGTAGGCATATTGAAAAAATGTCAAATATCCACTTTTTTCATAGGTAATAAAATATTACCCACTAATGAGGGACCATATTATACACTAAACACTCATGAAATTGTTTGTCTTTGGTGCACAAATTTAGGGCCAGGTTGTAGTGCACAGAGATCTTCCAGCCTCTCTACCACTTTTGCAGAGTCTGCCCACAACTGCAGTCTTGGTATTCTGCATAGTGTAAGGATGGCGGCATTGCTAGCTATCCCAAAATGGAAGCAATGGTGTAGTGCAATGGCCCTGCTCCCCAGCCCATTGGAGTGGCCCACAGAGCTTACCAATCATGAAGAGGAATGTATCTTACAGAGTTTGGTAGAGACCATCCCTTCACAGTTGTGTTGTTTTTCATTTTTCCGCTCTACTCTGCTCTGGTTAGGCCTCAGTTGGAGTATTGTGTCCAGTTCTGGGCACCGCATTTCAAGAAAGATGTGGAGAAATTGGAGAGGGTCCAGAGAAGAGCAATAAGAATGATTAAAGGTCTAGAAAACATGACCTATGAAGGAAGGCTGAAAGAATTGGGTTTGTTTAGTTTGGAAAAGAGAAGATTGAGGGGGGACATGATAGCCGTTTTCAGGTATCTAAAAGGGTGTCATAAGGAGGAGGGAGAAAACTTGTTCATCTTGGCCTCTGAGGATAGAACAAGAAACAATGGGCTTAAACTGCAGCAAGGGAGGTTTAAGTTGGACATTAGGAAAAAGTTCCTAACTGTCAAGGTAGTCAAACACTGGAATAAATTGCCTAGGGAGGTTGTGGAATCCCCATCTCTGGAGATATTTAAGAGTAGGTTAGATAAATGTCTATCAGGGATGGTCTAGGCAATATTTGGTCCTGCCATGGGGGCAGGGGACTGGACTCGATGACCTCTTGAGGTCCCTTCCAGTCCTAGTGTTCTATGATTCTATGATTCTATGCACCTTCCTGCATGCCAGTAAGCTCCACTGGAGCCTGAGCCTGGAATCCACAAGAGAATCCTGAGCGTAGTTTGAGCATGGTCACCGCTAGATTCTCCAGCATGGTTGTCCTGAAAGTGAGTTTGAAAATGTCCTCAATATCATCGACCTGGGGTGCTGAGATAGCAGTGCATTGCTGCCACAAGAGTCAGAATTTCATAAAGAAAAAAGATTATCAAATGAAGAAAAAAAAAAGCTTCCAGCAAAGTCAAAACAACTTGGTTCCTCTTCATTTATAAATAAAAAGCAATACATGGTAATTCCTCTCAGCTGTCCCCTTGCATTCTTCTGCCATTGCAAAATTCATTCTACCTTGGATGTCTGGATTTACATTTTTTTCCTTAAAATCCTCCTTTCTTTTAACTTTTCAGCAATGTTCTTACCAAGACATTGTCACAGCTTCAAGTAATATCCTCTCCCAATGAAAAATATACTTGAAATATGTTTGTGTTAAGTGTGTGTTAGATGATAAGATTGTTTGAAGAGAAACTGTCTTAGTTCCCTCATGTGTGTAACACAACCACATTGTCAACATTGCACAAATACTAACAACAATGCCGGCTTATAAAGCTTTGATATCTGATGCCACATAGACACAAAACTACTGCCGTGAGCCGAGTTGTTTCATTACATAATCTTCAAGCAAAATGTTTTCTGTATACTATGATTGTCATTCCAGCCTACAGCTACAGCAACAAGATCAGGACTGAGGGAAGAATACAGGACTAACCCCACTTCTTCTAAGTTGCCAGACTGAAGAGAAGATCACAGGAGAATTATCAAGACCTGTCAACTTGATTTGTTTGGATTTGGTGGGACTTTTTTGCTCTTGTTTTGTTGCTGCTTTTTTTTCCCAGCACTCACAGTGAAGTGGCCCTAGACAACAGAACATAGCTGAAGGGCCTTTTCTTCCCCCCCTTCTCAGGGGACTCCAGACCTATATACACCAACCTTTTCCTGTGTATAGCTATTGGCATTTCCATTAAAATTCTCTAGTGCCAGGTAAGTACTGCTTCAGCACAGGAAATGATTGAATGATACAGCCTGCAAAGCCACAGTATCTTTGAATGCATACAAAGGATAGAACTATAAATTTAGTGCACACATACCACAGCTACGGGATGAGGACTGGAAGGAAAATATTTTGATTTGCTTTCACAAATACCCAAGTTGGGCTAGAGATTGCAGAAGAAAGCAGGGTGAGCTAATTTTAAAACTGTCTTTTGCTTTTGATGGTTGGATTTGTTGTTATTATATATTTGCTTACTATTGCATGGCACTGAACACACATGCTGTTCCCTTACATCTGAGCTACTCACCATGCGGCCTGTGGCCCATCTGTTTGCAGCAGGCAGTGCGGTTTGGATTTACAAGGGGCTCAAAACATGGCCCGTAGGTGAGAGTAGTCACACACAAAAAAGTAGTCAATATAATGGTCTTCTGTAGATATGCTTTTTAGTAGTTAAATTCCTGGACTGTCATTGCTCATTACAAGTGTTGTCATATGGGTAGAAATCAGGTAAATATTGCATTTTATTAATATCAGCAGAACTGACTTAGATGAGGCCTGTGTGTTGTGTAGTCTTGCCTCAATCTTTGTATTCATTCCCGTCAGTGTGAAATAAGCTATTTGCATATATTTGCATATATATTTGCATGTATATGCAACCACATTTAAGCTACAGCCCTCGACATATACTGTATCATTGTGGCCCCCGGGGCTTCCAAAGTTGAGTAGTGCTGCTTTACATGATGTATCATGCTAACAAAAATGTTGCTTTTTTTAAAAAAAAAATCCACCAAACTCAAGTGTGCCTGTGGTTCACAGCATGTGTTAAGCAACCTGAGCCTCTTAGAATCACTGAAGATGATTCACTATCTTCTTTTTCCTTTCTGACATGTAAGTCAAAAGTAATCTTGCCAATGTTCCAGATGGCAGGTTAACAATTAGCTTCTTCTCTTGTGGATTCAGGGTGGAACCAGTGCTTGCATTGGAAAGCTTAGGGGTGAGTGACATCACATTTCCGGATATTGTTGTCTTGTCAGTAGCTCATTCCATTCTGGAGGGCTATTGCAGTGTAGTTAACTGCTCACAGGACTAGCAGGTATGAGTTCTCACACTGGCTCAGTCACTGGCCTTACTGGTTTCCCTAAGGATAAAGTTTTCATAAGTGCCTAAGTGATGTAGGTGCCGGAGTGCTAGTGATAATGCTACCTACGCACCCCAGTCATGTATGTCTCACACTGAAGCTGTATGTGTAATGTCCAGGCCATTCAGACATAATCTTGCTAGCTCTGACCATTCTAGCACACTAAAAATATCACTGTAGCCATTGCAACAAAAGCAGCAAGGCAGGGTAGCCACCCTGAAAACATTATCTCAGTCAGAATTGTACTCAGAGTGGTGAACCCATTCGGCTTCCTGCAGCTAAACTGATATTCGTACTATGCTATTTCAATCAGAGCTAGTACATGCCCAACGTAAACATCACACCTCCAGTTCACGTACCTTAGACAGCTTTGCAAAATGTTACTTCTTAGTCACAACTGTGTGTCACTTTCTGTATCTGTAAAAATAAGATGATTAAATGTACCTATCTAATTTGCATGGGAGGATTCAAATTTGTGATGCACACTGATGTGAAAGCTGCATGCTGTTATTTCTAATCCCTATAGACTAGCAAACAGGGTGTGGAGATAGACCAGGAACAGGCCTCTAGTGCATTTTCTTTCCCCATTTGCTATTTGAGACTCCAAAACAGTCCTTTAGGCTCTCTGAGTGGCAGTGTAAAAAACTGAGAGTTTTAAATCACAGCATCAGTTTTCAACTTGAGTTTTAAAAGAAGCAAAATAGACAATGGAAGAAATGCTCGAAATCACTCTTTCTAGTTAGGAACAAGCCCCTTTAGTTCACAGATAAATTAGAGTTAAGACCAAGCCTAAGAGCTCAGAATCAAATCTGAATTACCTCAAGATTCAGGGTGATTGGATCCAGGCTCATGGCTTTGACCCTTCACTCATACAAAGGGGTATTCTCTCACAAATATGAACAACTTCAGGGCCTATTGAATTGGAAAAGGACTGTCAGCTCTTTACTCCCCCACCTGTCCCAACTGCCATATCTATGTGGAACCATCTCCTCAGGTTCCTGTAACATCAGTGCCTCCACTTTCTTACTAGACTCTAACCTACTTCCTGTGGTCCTAGCACACAACTCAGGGGATCTTTATGTGACTCAGAAGGGAAGGAATCCTTCCTGCATGCTGAGGATGGGCAACAAAATGTTTTCATGGACAACTCAGTATCTTTAACACTCAGTAGTCCATGAGATCCCGATCCCTCCATTCTGCAAGGAAAATGGCTGTTGGATCGCTGAATTCCTTCCATGCAGTGTGCTTATGCATTAAGCACATGTAGCTCTGCTATAGAAAGTTCTGGCATGCTAACTCTTTCAGTCCTGCTCAGTAGTACTGC